AGCCCCAAGTGGCAGCCGAAGGAACTACGGCGGAAAGATTACGTGACCTCGGTCGGCTCTAAGCTGCAGCATAGCGCCCGCTAATGTACGCAGAGAGAGGGAGGGGAAGCATCCTCCGAGATAGCACACGGGAAGCTACACGGCACTCCGAATGACGTCACTGGGAGTGCGACCAGTTGTGACCCCTGAGGACTGGGAGTGAGTTGAGGGGTGCCCGAAATGCCAATCTTTATCTTTTATTTACGCAACAACTAGGACACGCAGGCGAAATCGGTTTTCTGTTCTTTACTTCCGAAGTTTCAGGGGCCAACTTCCAGAAATCTTTGACCGAAGTCCGAAAATCGTTGCACCGCCCTTTTAAAAAAGGAGCAAACTTTATCGGGGCTGCGATGGGGATCTAAGATGTCTGCTTTCCGGTGTCCAGGCTGACCTGTCCTGGATAGCGACCCAGATCGCCAACGGCATGTGCTACCTGTCGTCGCAGCACTTCGTGCACAGAGACCTGGCGACGAGGAACTGCCTCGTAGGCCACAACCTCTGTGTCAAAATCTCGGACTTTGGAATGTCCAGGGATATCTACACATGTGATTACTACAAGGTGGGCTACATTTGTGTTCCTCGACTTTTGTCGATTCCCTTTGTTTTCTGAATTTTTTTTTTTTTTTTTTCATTGAAAATCACTGAAAAACCTTTTCCCACCAGGTTCGCTTTTTTTCTTGAAATTAATGATAGCTTTTATCGTGATGGTAATTTTAATAAAAGAAGAGTGAGAACGCAGGCAAGCTGCTGAATTCTTGATATGACGGAACCTGAGACATGCAAGCAACAAGTAGTAATAACCACCAGCGCTCCAGAATTACTCACTTGCAACTGGGAAGTTATACCTATGTCGAGGGCTGTAACGAAACTTGATTGCAATAAATTCAAGGTAGAGGAATCAGTTCAAGTGGGCATTTTTTTAAAGTATATTTGAGCTCAACACGGGGATAAGAGCAGGATGAGCAAAGATGCACATTCTAGTCTGTTTCTGTGGATATGATATGCTTTAACAGGTGCGTTTTCCCAAAGATCTGAATACAAATTAAGTAGATGCTCAAACGGCGCGGATACCACCTGAGTGGCTTCATACATGCAAAAAGCCGCCTCTGTGGTTCCTACGGCCTTAGAGCCCGTAGGTAGCGGATTCGAAACCCGACCGAGGTGTCCTCATTCTGACGGAGGTTCATTGCGGAGAAGGCGGCGTATAACTGAGATCACACTTGTACTTAAGGAGTTATTAGTATCCAGTTACTTTTTCGTAACGAAGTAAAGACCTAGTCACTTTTTTGTACCGAAGTAATGACCTAGACACTTTTTAAGAAAAGTAACGAGTAACGTATTTTCGTGAATATTTCATGAAGCAACGAGTAACGATGATTAGTTACTTCTGGGGGGGAACGTGTACGACACAGGTACCCAATCTTGTCCTCACCCCAGGGGCCCTAAACTCGTCAAACACAAAGTTGGAGCCGAAAGCTCGCAGAGCGCGCTGATTGGACGTTGGCGAAAAAAGCGCGAAGTCATCGTCGTGATAGACCAATCGGTGCGCTCCGTAAACTTCGGCCCCAACTTTGTGTTTGACGAGTTTAGGGGCCTAGCTCGCGCCTGTAATTTACACGACGAGAAAGTGCTGGATAGACCATAAAAATATGCGCACAGCGTTTGTCAATGCTACCACAGCTGTCCCTGAATGAACGCGTCAAAAAGCAAGGAATTATTAACGCCGACAAACATTGGAGGCGGCTTCTGCTTTAAAGAAAAACAACTCATTCAGAGCAACGAGAAAAAAGAAACTCGTTACTTGCAAGCTGATGGAACGCGGTCCTTTTAAATCGCAGTGACTGGTAACATAGTTACGTGGAGTGAGTAGCGAGTGGCGTATTTAGTTACTTTGATTCGGTGACGTGTACATGTTTAACTGGGATTCCGGTTGCACGTCAACAGGTCCCCATCTGGTCAAAAATTATCCTCGATCCTCCGCTGGGGCGTCCCAGAGGCCTTTCGCTGGTTTGGATATTGGCGCGTAAAATCCCTACATTTGGCTTACATGCATGCAAAGCTGGAAAAATATTCGTGCGTCTGTTTTCCCGATAAACACTCGAAGAGTCGAGGATTACAATCTACGGTGGGAACGGGCTGATAACGATGACAGAAAAAACATTTTATGATAAGTATCTGCACGGACATAGTGTTCCTTGAAATATGGCGCCTGTAACGTCAAAACAGTTAAACGTTTTAATCAAATAAGAAGTAACGCAAACGCAACGTGCATTACTTTTTATCCGTATCGGTAGCGGTAACGTAGGTGTGTAACGCGTTCCTTTTATTTGAAACTAACGAGTAACGTATTTCGCTACCTTTTTCGGCAGCGCCTACAACACTTAGTCATGCTCAGTCTTGCATCGAAGGCTTAATTTTTGGATCAAAGCGTTATTTTCGGCCTGGACATTCGCCTGGTTCCCTCTATGAACTACTTTCCCGCGCAGAGCTCGGCGAGCCAAAGCATTGCGATATACAGAGAAAGTTCGACGAATGACAAGGCCGAACATTTACGTTTAGACCTAAACTGAAGTCTGAGATGTGACAGTCAGTGCGACATATATATGTGGAATTGAAACATGCTCAGTGTAACACCACCGATTTCATTTCAAAGTTCATGTTCGCTCCACAATCCTTTTTTTTTTTTTTTTTTTTGAGAATGCAACATTTTACTTTTTTTCCGGATTCAGTTGCTTTATAACAGTGTCGCCAGTCCGAATCTCGACATCTGTGCATCAGCCTCTGAGTTCCGCCGCCTGTTGAGTAATTTTTTTTCTGCTCATTCGTTAATTTTTATTGTTGTGTTTTGTAGTACGCTTTTGTTAGTGTGTTTTAAGTGTGATCATGTATATGTGTGTCTCTTATAGCGTTTTCGTTGAGCTGCACCAATCTATTGTGATTGTTTTGGGTCACTTTAAATAAAGAGAATGATGATGATGATGGTGATGATGATGATGGTGATGGTTATTATGATTATTATTATTATTATTATCATTATTATTAAGGTATATTGTCCGGCCCCTACATTCGCCGAAATATCTTCGCAGATTGCAGAGATTGCAGTGATTGGTTCTCCAATAACTCTGCGTGTATGTAGGCTAACAAGGCGTTTTCGGGAGTGTATTCACTGACAGTTTAATTAAGAACGGCTGGGTTTGGCTAATCACACACGCGTTCGTTGCATCCTGGTTGGTTCTTGATTATTTTTAGCCGAGTGACGTACCGATTCTGAACTGCTCGATGAGTTAAGACCATCAAAACTGCCAACGTCTCCGAACGGCTAAGAATGGATGGATATATGAACGGGGCTGACCCTTTTCAATCGGCGGCGGCTTGCGCCCTCTAGCCGCTTAATGATAGGGCGCCATCTATCAGCAAACCAAAAATCGTTTCTGGTGGCCTTCCCAAAAGAAAGAAATTCAACCAGCTATTGCGCCTGTATTGTTGCTGCGAGCAAAGACGGAACAAAAAAGCTGGGATGCCTCAGATCGCAGCTCTACCACTTTATCTGTCGTTTGGCGCGGCTGATGACGTCGGCTTGCTCCATAGGACAGTTAAGGCTTTCGCATTAATAAACTGTATGTTGCAATTAGAGCGCTGGACTACCCCGGCTCCATACTTTTCCCGAGCGGCGATACACATGGCACCACCCAAAAATGGCGGACGGCCGCGTCTGCATGTGCATCGGCAGCCCAGGAAAAGCCCCGTTGATTTCCTCTCCAGATTCGAGGGTCCCGGATGCTCCCGGTGCGATGGATGGCTCCCGAGAGCATCATGTACGGCAAGTTCACCCTGGAGTCAGACGTCTGGTCCTACGGCGTCGTCTTGTGGGAGATCTTTACCTACGGAAAGCAGCCCTACTACGGCCATTCAAACGAAGAGGTGAGCGAGGAGACTTGGACGCCTCTTTCTCGGCGCCGTTCGTTTATTTCTTGAATTACCTCTAAAAACCCGTAATAATACATAAAATACACTCAACAAAACCACTCTGACACAGGGTTACGCTCAACATAATTACATACAGGGTGTTCCTAAGCGTTATTTGGGCCTACAAAAATAAATTGTTTAAATACACCAATGAATGGAGTGCATTCAAACTTTTCACAAACGTGTCCTTGTTTAGTTCATTTATCATACTCAATTATTAGGTGTAATAAACACTCCTAATTCTTTTAAAATATATATGCACAGGAGGAAAACTAAAACAAACCGTCTTCAAGTTTTTGCTTTATGTTGTGCTCTCTGTGGATAGCAGCGTCAACTATGCCCGTTTTCACTTCAAGAAAAAAGTAAGTTTTGCGCATTGTTCATGCGCGGCGCGAAGTAGTTCTTACGAGACTCGGTTATCTGAGGAAAACGCGAGGCTTTTGGCGTTTGGAACGTGAACGTCTTGCTAAGACAACATATATCTAATCTACAATTCACCTACGTATATCTTAATTCTCTACATAAAAGGGGAAATCAGTAATGCTCCCCGAGAAGCCGGACTTTTTTTACTGTGGTTCTTGAGGTGAAAACGGGTATAGGCGGTTTTTTTCGTTTTCCTCCTTGTGCATAGAAAAAGAAACGAATACCTTAGGCTTAAAAATTTTTCATCGAACCGGCAACCATGAAATTTGACTGCGATAAATCCACCATCCAAATACTCTTATTACAAGATCGTTGCACTCTTATGAAAAAGATTCACTCTTTTTTTTTTTTTTAGTTTATTTAGTTTACGCCCCAATAGTAGTCTTAAGTACCCTGAAGAAGGTTGCGGCATAAGCCGTCGCACGTGCACAGAGATATTTCAAAACTCGTGACATGCTCAAAAACATATTCCCTATGCTGCTTCCGAAAACATAGAAATGCGTGGTAAAAAGTTGAGTGTCATCCTAATGAATCTCGCAGAAGTGGCACGAAGATGTCATGGTTTGTGGTCACAGCGATTTCGCTTGCCGTCTCATTCTAGTCAGCCGTCCTGTATACGAACGGAGAAAGTTGAAAGATTTTTTTTTTTTTTTTTGCGAATGGAATGTGAATTTTCGAATGGTGACCATGACGAGGGAAATTGCGAGCAGGTGGAACGATGGTAGACGAAACCCGGATGAACCGTGGAGATTCTGTGGATCTATACTTGGTTTCAGCTTGGGTCCGAGCGCGGCCGATTTAATGAGCCGATGGGCCACTCAAACAGCGAAAGAGGCACAACGTCATGGCGTGCCCTCTGCGGTTGATATTAGTAGCCGGTATTCGTCGTCTCTCTGTGCGCGCTCCTCCGCCGGCTACTCCTATCAACTGCAGAGAGCACGCCATGACGCTGTGCTTTTTGCGCTGTTTGATTGGCCCATCGGCTCATAACATCGGCCGCGCTCGAACCCAAGCTAAAACGAAGTATAGCGAAATAACCTCTGTGCTGGGGCGTCAATAAACCAATTATTATTTTGAAGTGAGTGACGCATACAGGTGTATACGTTTTTTTTTTGTTTTTTTTTTGTGTTTTTATTTGTGTAAACGGAGTACCCCCCTTTTGTAGAAATTCTCGACAGTCAATTAAATAATTCCGATGCGGGTTCCGAATTGCCGATGCACACCCCAACTTCGGCCTGATCGAGGTAAAGTGTGCAAGTAGCTTAGTTTGTGCACTTACCAAGGGCAACTATCTAATGACGATTCGCCGGATTTCCTGCGTAAAATTATGGAATCTCTAGTTCAGTTCTCTGCGGGTGAAGCCCAGGGGCAGATTTAAGGGTAGGGGTTGGGAGGGGGGGTACATCGCCCTCCAAAGCCCCCTAGGGCAAATATTTTTTATGTAAAAAATGACATACACAATCCTCTTTAGGAAGAAATGTGTAGTTGTTGGTGAAATGGCACATATTAGGTCAACAAATAAGATCTGGGCAGCGCATCGGTCGTAACGTCAGATCTCCCCAGCAGCCAAATGCCCCCCAAGCCTGACCCGTAAATCCTAGGAAAAGCGCCGGCCTAGGAAGGGCACAAACAGCAACGTGCCCGCTCTCCACGCAGGTGGTGAAACTCATTCTGCAGGGCATCCTGCTCAGTCCACCGGAGGAGTGCCCTCCGTACGTCTACAACATCATGGCGGGGTGCTGGAAAACAGAGCCACGGGACAGACTCAGCTTCGACGAGATCTACAAACGCCTGCTGGAGAACTTCCCCACTGCTCGGCGCGATTCCGAGGGCCAGCGGGAAGGCCTGGACAGCGAAGACTACCTTGTACCTCGGACCGTGACTCCAACCCCTCAGAACGAGCCCTTGTGAGGCGGACGTCGCCGACCTCGGGAGTCGCGACGCGTAAAAGCACTCGGTGTGTCTGGGGGCAGGGGGGGGGGGGGGGGGGGGGGGGGGGGGGGGGGGGACGCGTTTCATGTTTCCCGCTGATTGCAACGACGCGCGGAGCTCGTCGATCAGTCGCGACCGCTCACGTGATCGGAACACATCCGCCACATTGAGGGAACTCCGCCCGTTTAGACTCAGCGCTGACCAACGCGACTCAGGGGTTCTACAAGCTCCGCGTAAATGCGCATTTCCTTTGGTTATTCTTACGTCAATTCTATCTAGAGTGAAATAGCGATTCATCCCCTGCTACATCGACGTCATCAATGTTGCAGCTCTAAACAAGGCAGGTAAACGGCAGAGGGGAAAGTGGGTACTGGATCCAACAGGCACTCGGATCATTTCCTGAGGACCGAAATCTAAACTAGTCCAGTCACCCTGTTTATTTTTATTTGTCTGTTTTTTTGTTGTTGTTGTTGTTGTTTTGTTTTTTTGTTTTTGCGCTTGTTGTTTTTGTGAGTTGGCTATATAATTGGCTAGACCAATCACACACGGATGAAAGCGCAGGATCACGGCTCATTCGTTGAGCGCAATTGGTCTAGCTGGTCATAGCAAACGCACAAAGACGACGAGCGCAGTGACGATGCACTTTTCGAGCTGCTTAAATGGCTCCCGAGGATTGCAGCGTCGGCAGCGGTCGGATTTAAAGTAAGCGAATTAACGACCACCTTATAAGCTAGACAAGGTATGGCGGTGTCGTCCAGTTCGTCGGGGAGTGGCGAAAGGGCATTGATTACAGCACTCTGAAACAGGTCGGGTGACTGTGCTCTGTAGTCGGTTCCAACGTCAGATCTGAAGGAGAAACTCCAACCCCGACTTGCATGAGACAAAGGGCTTCCCTACGCCACTCAATAGGAACGCACCATTTTTCGGACATCAGGGAAAGGGAGGAACATTCATCAGCGCTCTTTTGCAAGGCTGGAACCGACAAAAACAACGCTCGGCCTAATGTCCGGTGCTCCTCGGTGCAGCATTGGGCAGTGAGTGCCGCGTTGTTCTCTTAGTCCTGTTTCTTATTTTTCGTTAGCAAATATTTTCCTGTTTGCTTGTTTGTTGTTGTTTCTTGTGGAAATATGTTTCAGTGGCATTTGGAGAGATTGAAAACAGCAGTCGCAATAACTCTTCACCGACCGCCTGAGAACAGCAGTGTGATCAGCGGCCGCTGTTGTCACCGGTCCACATAGATTGGGCCTGGGGGACCATTGGGGCGTGATACCGCTCTCCACCTTCACTGGGTACGCTATCGAAAGATGATCAGTGATTGGCACTCCAAGTACACGGCGGGGCAGTATCAATGCATGCACCGGTGAGAGTATATAGCTTGATGGGCCCTCTTCGTGAAACTTTTTTTTCAGTTTCGATATAGGTGAAAGTAGAAAGAGAAAAATAAACTTCACAACTAAAACAACGAATCATTCGGACCCTTTGGGTTCGAACTTGTGTCGGGCACGTCGACTTCCCTTTTGCTCTGTGTTGCGTGCATTGAGAAAGTTAGCACAAGAAGGCCAGATGGGTTCCCGTCTTCTGGGCACATTGAGCGGGTGGCTTGAGCGACGGCCTAACCCTCGGCCCGCTCCGCTCCTGCGCCTCGGCTTCCTGGCAGCGCTCCGCTGAGAGTGCGGCTGTATAAAGCGCGCGCCTGAGGAAGATCCCTCCAACTCTGTGCCGTCTTCCGCGCAGCAAACACCAGCTAGAATACTCAAAGCCTGTGAAGAGCCTCCTCCACCTCCACATAACATCATGACACTCGGATGGTGCCAACCAGCAGTTGGACCCAAGCCCGACACCGAGCGTCGCTAGACGTATTGACTGACACGAAGCCCAGACGATCGCTACATTCGTGTCCAATTTGTGCCTCCGCTCACTTTCCCTATGATGACGTGGAAATGCTATACTTTATTTCACCTTATGATGTACCGTAGGAAAGGTTACAAGCGCGAGCTCTTTGATCTTGGGCACACCTTGGCGGCTCAAGCTCTAAGGCGAGCTTATAACGTTATGAGCTCGCGCTTCTAGCCTTCGCTGCAGTACAACCTAAGGTGAAACGGAGCATAGTGCACGGGCTTCGATTATTCCAAGTAGTGATGGCGCAACTGACCGGAAGGCCGGGACGCTTCGCCTGCGCGCTCAGCCAATGCACTCGGCCTGCGGTTTCACGCACCTGCTTCGTGCGAACGCGCTCGTTTTGCTCATTGTTCAGCGGAAGGCGTTGCTGTCGCAGAGACGTGGAGGTGCGTGACACCCTTGTGCCGCCGATCGGGCGACGCGTCGAGAAATTCATATGAGGGTAAAAGAACTTACCTCTCGTCGAGAATGGAAGCCTTTGATGCGTTTTATGCATGTTGTGGACCGTCGAAGGTCACTGTCACCACGTGTTATAGGAAACGTCCACAGCTATAACGGCCGATGATTCCACTCTACAAGACGTGGAAGTAGGTTCCTGCGATTGAGAAGGAGAGGGTTGTTCTGGCGTCTTACTGCACCTGACTGATAGATCTCAGATCTGTGTAGTTGAGAGTACAGAATAGGAAACAACAAACACGACCGCTCCCATACAGTGGATTGGTACACTAGTCTCCGCGTCATGAGAGCTCGCCCCCCCTGCCCCAAAATTGGCCGTCGTGATACGTAGTTCCCTTAGATATCGTAACAGGTTTGGAAGGTCGACAACGACTATTTCATCATTTTTTTAAGCTTTTTTTTTTTTTAATTACTATTCCCCAGTAAGAGTTCAATTGTCAAAAAAGTCTTCTGTCCCAGTTTCCTAAACCAGACATTCCCATTGACCATTCTCTCCAACTGTTAGTTTCAGAGCTTTTAGCGTGCGTGCGTCCAAGCGCTCATGCTCGTGTAGGTCACGCGTACTTATACCAACAGGGCCCGAACCGGCCATTCGGAAAGTTATGAATGAATGCTAATGAATGCGTGGCCTTGATAAGGCGTCGCTTGCTAGAGCAACACTTTTCAAAAGCCAGAAAACAGAGTCCGCTTTCTGCACCAGTGCATGAGCTTATTGATGCGCTGATACCGTTAGAGCCGACACAGAGCAGAGCAGATCAAGAACCATGAGGTTACTGCGAGCCGAAGCGACAGCCTCGAAATGCCCGCGGACTTGACGTGTCGACAGTATTTTAGCTAGTCTGAGCTAGCCACAAACCGAAGCCGTAAGGGTCCTTCATCGCAGCCAGTAGAGAACAATTTGGAACCATTTTGTTTTCGGTGCCTACAAGCGGCGTCGCAGACTGCTTCCTGTCGGTTCTGATATCGAAATCTTGCGTCATTATGCCATCGGAAACAGCAAGGATCAGTAAACCTGTCGGTTATTGTCACAGACCCGGCGTTAACTTTATTGTTATATCTCAGAGTGAAAACGGAGTCACCATCCACACCTGGTTTCGACCCGGCTCTCGAGACTGGAGCTTTTAGTTTGCTTTAGAACGGGCAGTCTGTGGCGAGCTTGCAACATCGACACCGAAGCGATCACGCACCTGTTGACTATCAATCAGTCCCGGAAACGGGTATTTCTCAGTTGGGTTAGGAGGGTAAACCTCCAAACTACTGCGACAATATTCATAAAAGAATGTAGTTAAGTGTGAGAAAAAAGTGCACATCTGAAACAACCAAGCTTATTTAATGCATATATACGTTCAAGAAGTGGCGTTCACCAGTACCTAGGTCTCTTGCTGTCTGCTTGACCACTATTACGATATTGTTAACCCAAGCACAAATCAGCATCTATAGTTCACTGTGTTTTTTACAGCGGAAGTTCATCTCGATCATAAAAAAGTGGTGCTTTTCTGTGTCTCCGAATCATCTTTAGCTAAATTGATATCAAGGAATCTGTAGAGTGGTGTTCCTCCTGCAGTACGCTAAAATTTGTCTTCGTAGATTTATTATCTATAATGAGGCAGCTATTGCTTTTGTTTATTCTCTATCCCTACTTGTTTTTTTACTAGCCTCACGCGCGCATCACGTATAATTCCATTTCCGTTGCGCATATTAATTTGAGTTGAAACTGGCCAGGGTAATTCAGTTTATTTAAGCAACGCCAATCTGGATTATAGGAATGTCTGGCCTTCAAGGAGGACTCGGTTGTAGATGAGATCATTTGTTTTCTTTTCCCCGTGGCCTGGAATGCAGACTGCTCGTCTCCGCCAAAGGCATTCGTGTTCATACATATCAACTGAAGGGCTTCTCTGCGGGATGAAAGTTTCACACAAGAAATTATACATTTCTTTGTTCACGCATTTGGTGCACTACGTCGCCAGACAACGCCAGTAGAAGCTCGACTCCGCTATCTTTTTGCATGCTGTACATGAACACAAACGCTCTGTTCCTGTCTACGTTCTACGTTCGTCTCTTCATGTTCATTGTTCACGCATCGTGGTCCGTCATTTTTTCAGGGACGTTGAAGCGATCCTAACCCAACCATACCGGAAAATTAATCCCACCTTCATCGAATGTCATTCAATCACGAATAACATCGTTCTTGAAGACCGTGCCACACGCATTCTATTATTATCATTTAATGACGTGATGACGATTGGGCTATTTTATTATGGCAAACTATTTTTGTACCGTATTAAAAAAAGCTCGATTAAAAGTTCAGAATGTATTTAATGATAATCAAATCTGATAGTACGCATATTGAACTGCGGATGCAAGTTTGCATCTATTAGTGCTGCCTTTTTCTTTGTAGTTGGCGTCAAATTCGAAGCAAAACGACGTCTTTAAAATCAAGATTGTGGTCAGAATGTCCGGCACCGAATGACAAATTTCGATGGAGACCTGATAAAAGCCAGACCAACTCTTTCTTGTATTTTTTTTTTTTTTTAATTTAGAATTAGTTGTTTGAAATTGTATTACGTAGTGCCCTTGAATGTCACAAAAATTTGAGTATCCAGTAACGAATATAAAGGGCAACATCTCGTTGGCCACTTTTTAATACGACAATATCTCATTACTGGTCTTTAATGCTTCGAGAGTC